ATTTCACGAAAAACAAAGCCAGAACAAATTTCAATAAAATTCAATTATATTTCAATTCGACCTTCTTTCTAAAACTTTCAAAAACATGCTATCAGAATTTAATAAATTCGTCCCATTATCATACATTTACAAATTTTATGGTTATTTGTTTTGGCTTGTCTTCCGTTGAGGAGAAAAAATTTGACTATTATCGGTGTGAAAATTGTTGAGTAATGTATGTGATATTTATTCATGACATAATGAAGAAGAAAAATGTTTTTTTAAGTGCGCTTGACTAAGTGAAACAGTAACGAATGGTATAATTTTTATTTCAATTACATAAATTATGTACACTCTTTGCTAGCTATTAAAATACCACCTGATGGGACTATTATTTATGATGAATTGAGACATACAAAAGCTGCCAAAGACATTTCATTTTTATCATGAGCTTTTTTTTTCGTTTCTATTGTTGATAGAACACTACCCAACATAACATTAATGACAATAGAATTTTAAGGATTGTTGGTTAACATCAAATAATAGCACTACTAGAAAAGGTAAAAATTTTATCAGGAAACTCGTTCACCTTAAGTTCGTACTAAAGATGTCGATAAACGTTTCCTGTCAATTAAACTAACATGCGACGTGTGTCTCTGATGTATCGACAATTCGCCTATTTCAATCGACAAACTGTCAACTTTTCCAAATACATTTTACATGCTCATTATTACATATTTACTGTCTGTAAAAGTATCTATTAAATTATTCAAGTACTTTACTTTTAATATACTTTTAAGCGGAATATTTCAACCATTTTCTCTGGGCAATGATGGTTGGATGGATGAATCGTTGTGCTTCCGACTGTGTATTAGTTACGCTCAACAAGATCAGTCTGCGAGTTGAACTCCGAAGACAGAACATGTAGACGTGTACGTTATAAGTTTCATCCACCGTGAATTAATACTCATAATGCATAACATCACTGGTGACTGCATATTGTCCTGATTTTAGCATTGAAAATAATAAAACATGTTGCATAACTTTTGTCAATTTTTTTTGTTGTTCTTTATGATAAATAAAATTGACTGACATTGAATTACCTCTGATAATTTTTTCAGTTTTAAACACACTCTCAGTCCACTGTTGAAAAATTTTGGTTACATTTACAAAATTTGTGTAACTTCTGACCAATTTATTATCCAGATATAATGGCTCTATTTTCTCTTCCGCTATTTTATGAGATGAATATTTCGTGCAATTTATTATTATTAAATTTTTATTGGGATACGTGTGAAAATATACATAAATGACTAAACCGGTTCAAATATATGGATATTCACCTGTATATCTATACATCAGATTGTATCGTGTCCGTTTATTACGTTAATGCACGTGCTGAGACACTCGTGCCTTCAGTGCCATAATCCTATTTCTAGCTAAATGGAACTAGATCGAGATTCTGATCTGAATACAATTGTTTTGTTTATTGAGAGAGAGAATATTTTGGTTCTGTAATTACTTTAAAATTCAATTATTCATTTATTCTCATAGTTAAAAGAGATCGCAGATTATACTATCATTTTTTAAAATCAGTTCTATTTCAATAAAAAATTTTTCGTTGTTGATGAAGAGCGTTAATTTAATTTATTGTGAGCTTTTCCCAAGAAATAGATAGAAGATATTATTTGTTCCCTTTTCTGGCTTGATATTATTTCTGAATAAGCATTTAATTTTTTTTGATTATAAATTAATAGAACGTTATAAAATAGATTTTAAACGTTTGAATACAATCGTTTGAAAGCTATTCGATTCAGCAATTTAATTAATACGACAATATCAGGTAATAAAATGAATATTATATTTTCAATTACCAATGAAATTGGATGTTTTGTTATTTTTAGTTCTTTAGAATGTAATCAGTTTGTTTCCAAGCATAAAACATTATGAAATAATTATCAAAATATTTCAAAAAAGATGTAAAAATATTTGTCAATGTAACATTAGATTATCTTTCAATAATCCATACTTTTAATTGATCAATCCTATTGAGAAGATTATTAATTTCTGATCTAATTATACTTATTCATTTTTATGAGCGAAAGAATAATAAAAGTGCATATCTAATGCAGCATAACTATTCATGAAATCGATTATTATCTAGAGTTACTAGCGTTCGTTAATGTCTGCGCATCTGTGATACGATGATCATTTCAGCAAAGATAACAGTCTCTATAAATTGTCACAGTCTCTACACTAGGGAATAGTTTAATGATAGCCGATAGGCTTCTAAGATGTTCAGTTTACGTCACGATAGTGATACTGACTTATATTGTTGGAGACATCCACTGAAATCAACTGAAATGATAAAAGACATCAAGTTGCTAATAAAAATGTAATACACTAATACACATAAATTTTCTTTCGTTCGACAAGTAGTTTGCAGTACATCCTGTTTATTATTGTATGTCAGAATAAATAACATATATTTTATCTATGAACAAGTCAATTCCACGCCACAGCTTTCTTGGGATTTCAGAGTAATGCTCGTTTTATGACTTGGCATCATAAAGAAGGATGCCCACCAATGAGCATAAATTTTTTATCTGTTGCATGGTATGGTCTATATGATATTTGACAATAAATATGAGTCGAATAACGAAAAAGGATTTATTGAAAAATTGTTTTGTATATGCCAATATGTATAAACTTTAGAGAAATGAAAAATGTTTCAGTTATTTTTTTTTAATTCAACGATATTTTTGGTTTTGTAATTCATAGTAGATTTATTCCATATTCTCTTTTGCAAAAATTATTTTATATCGTTTTTTTAATGATGAAAGTTTGAAAAAAAATTACAAAAACAACAGCGAATTCCAATTCGAGTGTGATCATCTAAAAAAAATTTTTTTGTTAATCTTTTAAAAAGGACTGAAAAATAAAATTTGATATTGACAGTATAGAAAAATTCAATAAATTAATAAAAGGTTTACTTCGTTAGTGACAGAACTTCAATAGCCGAGGTTCCATTTTTTTTATTTTACCCTTAATTATTTTATTTGATAAAAAAGCTCTATCAATGAATATCGATTATTAAAAAGTGTTAAGTAATTATTTTATAAATATAAAAAAATTATTAAATTTACCCACTCAAATATTAAAATATTAATTATTTTTATTGAAAATATAACATTGATAGAAAAATAAATTTTAAACATTTAACAAAAATGAAATAATTAAAATAAATTGCCATTACATTACCATAAAATGGTGAAATCGTGAGTTTATAATCCACGTATTCTTGAATAATAGCAGAAATTAGTAATAATTTGGATGAAAACATCGTGCTATTTATTCGAGAATATTTTTAAAAATCCTCCAGTTAATTCAATTACGAAAATTAATGGAAATTAGTATTACTCAAGCAAACTACGAAAATTCTATAAATTTTTTTTAAGTGTTCATTAGTCACAAGATTAACTGTTACTACAGTACATATATCAAAAAAAAAAATTACTTAACGCTCACAAATCTTAACAAAATGTCTTTATAAGATATAGTGCTAACTTTAAAAGCATATTTCTTGTAGCTAAACAATGATCTTTAAATGATAAAAAGATTCCTGAACTAACAATTCATTAGAAGCGATATACTTTGAGCAGTAATGAGAGTAATATTTCTTTTGTGTACTTCTTCTGTGATTCAGATAAATAAGAGTAAGACATTTTCTTGGATTAAAGTACGAAAAAAGTCTCATATTATCACTTTTATAACCATTGATCGTGGCAGTAGAAAGACTAGAATTTTCAGACCCTCTGTGACTTCCATAAAATTGTAGGAAAGTGAGACGATTTGTCAAGTTGGAGGATTATAGCTCGAGCTCAACGTCGTCGCATCGAATGTACGATGAAAGTTACAATGAAAAAGGTACTGTAAGAGTGAATTGTGAACTCAATACCACTCTTTGTCATTCACCTCGTTTAGGACAATTGAAACAAGTGATTATGTCACTCAAAAATGCTGTAAAGTATACTGAAGTATTGATAGATGCTGATCTTCCATCGATTCGTTGAGTCTAAAGAAAGACATTATGACTCTTGAAGGAAATATTGTATCATCTGGATTTTTATTTCAGTTTAAATCATCACAACTTTCAAAAACACCAACTAATGTAAAAGCTTTCTTTTACTCGATAAAATATTTTCTTTTAATCTTTCTATATACATTAAGTGTTTACTATCATATAAAAGTAATGGATTATTATTTTTCCTCTCAAATACTCTACATTAAACAGTTACAACCAAATCTTGGAAGAAGAATGAAATTATGTAGTTTATCACAGCACTAGAACTGAATGTTTCTAATAAAATATCTTAAAGAGGGAGAAAATAAAGTTAAGTGTAATTGAAAAAAATTATGTTGTAATATATAAACATAAGAAATTAACTTTCACAATTTATTTTCAGTAAAATTTTTCTCCTTTTTATTACTGACAGAATGAAAGATTTTTTTTTTTTTAAGTCATAAACGGAATTATAAATTATGCAATAATTTAATTCAACAGATGAAGAAGGAAATGAGGTTAAATCTGAGTGGATGATTGATATAATAGGGAGATTTTTATACAGGGCAGACACATGATAATTTTCCAAGATCTTACTTGATATTCGTATAACGTAGCGTTGGTACTGCTCAAGCGTGTATATTTTATTGTGTAGCATTCTTGCAAGCTCTGCCGCAAGCACCAACGTGGCATCGCTTACTGCAGAATTACTGCGGAAGACAGTTAATTCGCTAGTTTATATGTTAAATTTATTCTTACTTCTCCAAGATAACGTTTCATAAATCAACAACTATGATAGTAATGCATAAAGGATTTCTGGAATTAAAGAATAACAGTCCTAATACTCTTGACTTAAAATCTATCATTCTTTCCAAATCACAGACATGATATCTACAGAATGTGAGTTTTTTTTACAGAAAGGGAAAAAATAAAGAGAAATAAAATCAGATGCTTCTTATTAATTGAATCTAATAAATATTTATTTATTTACTATGCTAATTTTTAACAAATAATTATGATTAACTCATATATTATATACAAATGTGTACACCCTGTACGTTCATCTACGCACTATTGTTAATTCATAATCTGTACATAAAGCACTATTGCTTCTCTATATTATAATTACATGTACATAGTGATCTTCACCTGGTATGATATTGTTCATCTTCCTTTATAGATACATCAAAATGACATCACTTGATAATAAATTTAATTGACTACATTGATTAAAATCATTTCTCATTATGTTCTATATATCGTTCACACTCGGAATAATAAAAAAAAATTTTTTTTTTTTAAATATCGCTATTTTGACATATTTTTCATCAATGAAAAAATGCAAAATTAATTAAAAATAAATAAATGCAACCTTCAATAATTTCCGTAGGTATGAACGATGCCGTTAAATTCGACATATTCAATTTATTTAATCAATGTGAAAAAATAGACCGTTTAGAAATACTATTTTTTTACAGTATTTATATATATGTCAATAACCGCATAATTAATATTACTATTCATACACTATATTATATATTGATTGTAAATTGCCATTTACATTTGTATTTTATAGTGTTTGTTTTTCAAAGGTCTTTAAAAATTTAATTACAAACTTTATGAAAAACATTTCATGTAATAGTACATTATTATCTAGTATATGAAATATTGTAAGAACTTGAAAGTTCATTTTCGAGTAAATTACATGTTTTCATCTTCTACATGAAACTCACTGTTCCTTGTGAAACTTTAAAAATTTATATTTTACAGAGATCTGTCACCTGGACAGCGATATGTATTTATCTACACATATATAAATGTACAATTATTATTTAACTAATAGTTTTGAATGATCAGCTTCTTTAAATATTAAAAAGAAATTAATCATTTGGCAGTGCTGACTAGACTAGACATAAAATAACTGTTGAAGATGGGCAGAGAGGAAAAAGAAATAAATGAACAAAGCTACTCTAACTGTGCGTACTGTTCTTATTAAATCAAAAATCGATTTTCCTGAGTCTTTAATTATCAACATCCACCATTTTTACCCTGGAAATGTACAAAGCCTCGATGATTGTGTTAAAAACGCTTCTCACAGCATGAAATGAACTTCAGAAAGGTATTGACACACCAATATCACTGGTCAAAGATTTTTCTATTGAACCTGTAAACCAAACAGTCCGATCGATATCTGTAGTTGGTATTCCATTGATCCCAGGAGAGCTTTGGGTTGCTGTGTTTTTTTTCCTGGGTCTTGTATTGGTTAGTCTACTAGGCCATGTTCGATATAACGTATCTTGCGTGCAACGTTTGAGTAAACAACAAGGCATAGCAGGACGTATAGATGTTAGGTGGGAGTGTCCAACACAATTGCAATGCCTCCATGTAATGACAGGTGATCGAAACTCTCTAGGTGGTTTTAAGATGGGTAAATCGTCCAAGTGCGGTGAAGTGTCAAGGCTTTGGGTACTTGGACGTAACGCGGTAGAACACGAAGATCAGGAAGTCATGATCATTTCAAATGTAGCAGTCATTGAGGTATCATCATCTAACGAACTCTGTGTGCCAACACTTATTAGTGGCACTCGGTTAAAGGTACTGTGTGATTGACAGTTCTGATGACTCAGACGGGGATGGCGTCTTTTGTAAGGTTCCCAATCCCCAGCTTCCCGTCGTCAGTGCGTCGCGATGACGTCCGGAGCACTTTTGGTACTTTCTATGCTAAAAGGCCTCTTTTGGTCTACCTCGATGACCGCCTCCGCTCGATATCGGGGGTCTGAGGGTGAATACTTTGGAGTTCCTGAATGTGGAGAGCTATGTGCATTGCTGGCAGTGTTATTGGATCCACGACCAGAGCCGTATGAAGAGCCTCCGTATTTTTCACTTGAACCAACAGTCGCCTGCCTCACGAGACTAGACTCCTGATAGTTTTTGGCCACTCTCTCTGGTTTGGGGCTTTGGTACCTCTGATAACTTGGATAGTCAGACTCGGTGTAGCCACCAGATGTTAGGACTGGCGAGTATGGTGGTTCATGAACTGACCATCCTGGTGGTGCAGGTATTGGAGTATGCTTTGGACAAATTCCATTACCACTGTCTTGTCTTACAGTTGAACTACAAATAGAGCATTGCTCGGAGGGTCGTCTGACACCAGAACTGTTCAGAGAAATTTGTTTTGGACTTTGTCTTGACAATTGACCTTGTGACGATTTTCGTGAACTTGTGCTTACACCATTTTGAGAATTAGTAGCACTACGATAACCAAATGTTGAAAATGCTGGTGATGGTATTCCCGGGTCTACAATGCGAGGATCAAAAAGACTTTCCCGAGTTTGACAAGAACTGTCACACATTTCTGGCTCCTCTGTTGATTCTTGTAAACGTTCCTGCGTTGCATTACTAACATTGTTGCTCTGGTGAATGTCATTTATCTCTGTCGTTCCATAGTTCATCTCCAATACGAGCTCTTTTGTGTATTCCTGAGCAATAAGAGTCGTCGGTGGTATTAGTTCCTTGCTTGAGTCTATTTCTAAACTTGGTGACTCACTACTTCTCTGACGAATATCTGTCTGCGTCGATGATATTGGACAAGGCGTTGCTTTGCGACCTATTTCATCCAAACGATTTTCTCGAGACTGCCTTATATGTTCCTAGAATCAAATGCAAAATATTCATGCATCTATTTTTTAAATCACTTATTTTTAATATATTCTTTTAGCTGATGTTAGTAATTACTAAAAACTATTTTCAACCAGCTAGAAATTTATTTGGTTAAAACTTTACTTGAAATAAATCAATTGAAAATTGACACATTTTATAATGAAATAATGAATGGCTGTGAAACTATTAACTGATAAAAACTAAATTATTTTTGAGCTTACTTGAATTATTCGATGGTCTCGTATAAGTTTTTGAACGCAGTTGAATATAAAAGCGAAACACATGCCAAACATAATCATGGAAAATATAACTAGAATAATTACGATCCTTGTTGAGTCTAGAGCAATTGACCCTTTGCCTTGCTGAAACATAGGAAACACAAAGATAATTATGATTATGGTCAAATCATAATTATAATAGTTTATTGTTAACTCACATAATTATGAAAACTATTTTAAGGAGTTTAATCCTTATACTTATCACTTGATTATAATGAATACTAAATCAGAATATTTTGATAACATCTATTTTTCTTTAATCTTATTATAAATTGTATCGTCTTTTTATTATTAAACATTTAATTCATCAAAAATGATCTATTCAGCAAAAAATTTATATTTCTCGAATCTTTTCTTTTTGAAAGGTAATAAAATCATTAAATGATTATTTTTCATCTTGAATATCATAAGACTTTTAATTGTACTCTAATTACGAAGGGAGGAAAATCTTCAATAAGATCATGAGATTTGCTTGAGGTTGGATCATTATAGGGATTACAATGTGGCGGCTTTCCTACTTCACTAGATGTACGTTTTACTAATGCAACGACAAATAAGATCTTTACGAGTCAACCACAACAGAAATAATGAGTCACCTCAACCAAATTATCTAAGGTCTTTAAACCAGGTAAATAACTTAATACCAACCTGTTTTTACTTGACATTGGGGCATCAGTAAATTGTGATTTTAATTATTCTTGAGTGAATTATCATGCAAATTGGTTTTTTTAGATTTAAAAATTCTATTCTCATTATCTGTTTTATTTTTAAACCCACAGTACTAAGTCATTTAAAAAAATTCTTTAGAATATTTTTTCTTACAATAAATTTTTTTCTTATGATTGGTAAAGTTTCTAAAATGATAGCTCAATCTTAGATAGTTGACAAGATGTCTACTGAATCTATTCTCTTCTACTTGCCAGAAGCATTAACCACAACCACAACCGCATAGCTACATTACAACAAGAATCCATTTAGCTTCTGGAAGTTAACGGAACTACCACCTAAAATGTTAATCTTAAAATTCAAATTTCTATTATATAATCAATAGAGTTAAAATTGAAACTACAATGTTGATTTATGATATTTAGCTTCATTCTCATTCACCACTTGTTACATGACTATCCTTGTAATATCAAAACGAATTGTGTTCTCATTGACTAAGTTAGAATAATTTTATAAATTAAAAGTATAAGAAAAATATTGATGTAAATGTTTAGATGCATGAAAAGAATGAATACAGTTCATTTAAAAGTCTAGAGCGAACTCTTGAGAGTTAAATGATATAATTATTTTTTTTTATCACAAAAAAGCTGTCGGAATAAATTTTTCCTTGAAGAAAAATCAAATGAATAAATGTTAGATTTTTTTGTGAGCATATTTAGACAAGTTTTGTGCATCTACGCAAAAAAATTTTGATGTAAAGGTTTTAATAAATAATTTCCATTCTTTTGTTGTCTATGGCTTTGACTGCGTCCGACATAACATTGACTTACATCTCGAGGGAACAGTGAAATATTTACTCGTTTAATGTTACCTTTTTCCCCAATAGACTTGAGTATTTTTATTCGATTTGAATTGAGTATCAAGTATTATTCAGTGTATTGAACATAGCAATACTTGTTCAGTTGTCAACTGTGAAAAAATATTTGTTATGCACACCAGATTTAAACTGAATTCGTAGTTAATTTAGTATGTCTTTGAATAGAGAAAATAAGTAAATATTTTTGTCGAATGAAAAAATTTCAAGCACATATTATCAACATAAAATAGTTGCGTGGTAAACAGGATTCAAAATCAAAGAAAAGAAAAGAACCACATTCATTTTGACTTTCTCTTCTACGTGTGAATGAGCATTTGACGAGAGCTGCTGACTTTGTAACCATTTTCATACAATGTACTGCAATGTCAAATAAAAAGCAACAAAACAAGTATGTATTTCTTTTGATGTTTAAATTGAACATTCCACTATGAGTATGATTTACAAAAACTTAATATTTTTTGTACAAATGTTAAAGTTTAAAAAAAAAAAAAAAAAAATGTTTATGAAAGCTATCCACGATACTTTCTACAGTATAATATATAATGTGAAGTTAATATAATAATAATAATTGATAATAATTATAATAATGATAATTTTAATCCAAAAGTTAATATTGGAGCTATAAGTACATTTAATTAATGTTATGTCTAATAATTTGATATTAATGTGTTTAAAAAAAAAAATTGAACCAGTTGATTTACATCTTGCATATTCAGTCTTGCAGTTCTGAGCTTGTAGATAGTTGAAATACGATGGATGAACTTGAAATTAACTTAACTAATTAAAACTAAAATTTAAACGAGTTTTGATGATTGACGCAGTCAGTTGTACTCATCATGAATTTGTTAAATTAATTTTCATTTATCTCTCCTTTCGTAATTGTAATATCATCAGATATTCTTTTTTATAGAATTAAATAAATATTTAGAATTATTTTCATTTTAACACTGGAATGTTGCTTTACGTTTTTATAATTCCATTACAACAATTTATTAAAAATATTTTAGAAATTTTTAATCAGTAATAGAATAAAGAATTTTTGTTTTTATTATTTCGAAATATTTTGTAGCTAAAAAAAAAAAATTTGAATGAACTATTAAGAGATAAGATCGAAAAGTGAAATAGAAAATTTGTGTTATTTATAAGGGAAATTGAAGTTGAAGGATTCTCAAAGACAAGTAGGTACAAAGACTTCCAGAAAAAGTTCATCGTTTAATATTATACAGGAAAAAAAATCATAAAAAAAAGCTGAATTTTTTTCACGATCAATCTTTTCTTATTACTTACAAAGGAATATCTTAAATACCCATGGAATGAACATTGAGAGAATGAATTTAATGTTGCATAATATTTATGCATTTAAATTTAAAATGATTAATATTAGTAGATGTAAATATATTTAACTTTCAAACAGTTAAATACAACTTGTGGTATTATTTATAAAAAGTGCTATTAAAATAATGTTGACATATTAAAAATTCTTGAGATTAATATTCCGTCTTAAGCAACACATCGTTTGGTGTCTTGTTCTGGTAGTTTGCCAAAAGCAAGGTATTGTGTATCGTGAAACCGGAAACACCCACCCATTCGTTGTCAGACATCTACACTTCCTCATAGCAACTCGAAATAAAAATATGACTCTAATATCTAAAGGCATCGTATTAAAATAAGATATCTGGTCATTTCATGAATAATATTATAATCGAGATGCTTGATCGTAAAATTGAAAAACTTTAGTTCTTAACAATATTTTATTTACTTACCCCACAAATAGATGGATCTTCATCCCATTTAAGGCGACAGTTTTCACGGTTATTGCATCGTAAAAATCCGGCTATGCATGTTGCATCATCACAATCGTATTCGTCTTCTTCACAAGCTGAAAATTTCATATCAAAATTTTATCATCACTTATTTAAAATAATAATAATCTCTAAACTCGAATTAATAGAATTGTTTTGAATGTAGAAAATAATTATGAGTATCAAGCACTGTATTCACTAGTAGTATTATCTTATTTTGTTCTGACATCCTTTCATTATTTTAGAAAAAAAAAAAAATTGAATTCCTTCAAAAATATTTACGATTGTCAATGATTCTTAAATATTAAAGAAAAAATCCTCCTCATTTGTTCGGAGTAAAATAAATACTAATAAGATTAAGCGAATCAGGGAAAAAAAATATCGAAGTTAAATTGTAATTTTATACGTACAAGCATCATTACTTTCTTTATCTCTTACTGCTGTCATTAAAGTTGTAAAAGTACTATTGATGGCTTTGGGTTCTACATAAAATCGAATATACATGATGTGAGACTTGGTAACAACTGCTTCAGCAATGCTACCACAAAAGTTTCTCAATAATGAAGGCATTTCCGGTTTCTCATTAAAAACAGATAAAAAATTAGCATCGCAATCGTTGGGTTTATCCAATTTGAAAACATCGAATCCTAACTGCATCTAAAACATATAATTGTAAAAAAAAATTACATTTAATCGGTTTAAAAACTTATTTGAGAAGATTAAATAAATTGAATTATTTTTTAAGTAAATGAAAATATTTATTAAATCAGACTGACTGAATACAAGAGAATATATGGATATTTCAAATTTCGAAGGCTCTTTTTCAGATATGACAGTCATTTAAAGCTCGCTCAGTAACTTTGTTATAAAAAAAATTGAAGCTGTCAGTGCATTTTTGTATGAAATAATTGAAAATTGAACATGACATGAAAATTCAGTTGAAACTTTATTTCTATTTAATTATTTAATATTTTAAATTTGACTATAAACTTTTAAAACGATATTCCACATAGTCTAAGTAATTTATAACTTTATTACTTGAACTTTATTTTAAACACTATTCTTTTAGAGCCGTTTAATATTCGTGATAGGCAACTGCAAATAAAGATTTATATTTGACTGAAGTATATGCTCTTGAGTAGATTTTCTCAAGTAAAAAATTTTTTTTAATTACTCAACTTCAAGTCAGAACAAATTAGTTTACATATAAACTCATTTATTGTTCGTTAGTTTTTAAGGATTCAGGGTAATAAGAGCTCAGGGGCTTGAGATAATTAGACCAGTGGTTTAATTATCCTAAATAAATTCTTATTCTTCGATCGTTTTCGCTTGGGAAAATACAGTAAAATCACTTCATCATTGTTGAAACTCTGAGGATTCAATGTTCTTTATTTTTTCATATCTTAACAGAAAACAAATGAGTTTTTATGAATTCTAAAATATATTAAAAATATTTTTTATCATATTTATACCACAAAAATGATCATTTATTTTTCTAGATGTTTTCTAATCAAGCCATTTCAATATTTCTTTTCACATAATAATTAATTAGTCTTAAAGAGAATAAAAATTTTTATGTAAAAGAGTGCAAACAATAGTTACCCTCCATTTTTCTTTTACGGTAACAACCCACAAACAATCCAATGGCATTCCATTCTTTTCTGCGATTTTCTTCTCTTCCTCAACATCTGCACTACTGATTATTGCTTCGTACTCGTCAGTCACATTCCTAATGCAGGGTTCCGGTTCCGGTGATACTCCAGCTGTGAATTAAACCTATTACAGCTCTTCTAAATTCATAAAATGTATTCATACTTATATATATTATTATCATAATGTATAGATATTTAAAATAAGAAACAATATATCGTCTAGTCATAGAGAAATTACTTGATGACTATATAAATGAATTTCACTATAACTAATAGTGTGCATACGGTTTATACAGAATCATCTATTTCCGAAATGTCTCATAATTTCTCTTCAGTTGCCGGAGGTAATTTGCATTATCCTCGAACACAAATTGCCCAGGCCATTCGTTAATTGCACATATCAGGATTGTAGTCAATAGCAGGGTAATACGTTCAAATATACCAATTCTAGAAAATTACCCATTTATAAAACATTTACCAAGTGGTTTTGACGTAGCTTTTATACTTGTTTTGACTTTCAAGCATGAAATACTTGACTAAACAAAATATTTCTCCATGAAAAAAACAACAAGTTTCTTCATAGTGGTTGCATGCTTTTTCCAAATAGATAAAGTAAATAGTAGGATTCTATTTGGTGTATTTAATACACCACTGGTTTTTTGAGATTTAAATAAAAAAGCAAAGCATGGAATAAGAGGTTTATTATTCGATGGAGCATGAAAAATTTTAGAGAAATTAACTTTAGAATTCTATGTGGACATTGCCAACAAAAAAATATTCCGATTTAGAACTTTTCGAGATAAAAAGTTTCAAAGTTGGTGATGGATGGAACAATATGATGATTTCTAAAGAAAGTTGTATTTATCTTATCAGAGAAAATTAGATTGGGAATAGTGGTAATCATAAGAGTGATATTGACTTTATTAGATTTAGATAATTAAACCCGTATAAAAAAATTTCGTTCCCCTCGTAGGACTATGGGGAACAAAATTTGTATGATAGAATTAAAGCAAGTTCCCGTTTTACCCCATTTTCAGAGTGAAATAATTGATTTTGTATAAGTTTGACCTGATTCCGTATTTCTAGGCATTGAGACGAAGAGAATGAGTGGTCAAACTTGAAAATTGGACAACTTTTATTTTTCATCCCCAAAAAATGGCAAGTGGTACCCCTTTCCATTTTTTTAGGTCAAAAAATAAAAGTACTCCGATTTTGATGATTGAGGGCTCATTCTCTTCGTCTTGATGCGTAGAAATGCGGAATCGTGGCACAGCCCGGAAAAATTCACTTTAACATCCTCAAAAGGGGGAAAAAGTGGATACAAATTACGAATAATCACCCCCTTGACTTTAAACCCTTATAACTCATAAACGGACCGTCCAATAACTATTTTTAGGGGTATTTTGGAAACCTTAAAATCTAAGCTAAATATTCATATCCATAAAAAATGTTTAAAAAATTTATTTCACCCTTAAAATTGCTAAAATATAAAAAAAAAATCACATTTTTTGGTAGTTTGCCAAGTATTTTGGTAATTTTGAGGGTGAAAGAAATTTTTTAAACATTTATTATGGATATGTATCTTTAGCTAAGATTCTAAAGTTTCTAAAAACCTCTTAAAAATCATTATTTGATGACTTGTATGAGAGTTATAGTGGTCCAAAGTTGAAGTGAGGGCCAAAAATCATCTACTCTTCGCCTTTTAACAAAATATAAAAATCCAATCTTGCTTTTCAAGTAAAAGTGCTTCGTAATTTGTAGAATTTTTCATATTTTAATAAATAATATCAAGAATTTCGACAAGAACTTGAAAAATGTTAGAAGAAAGCGAATAATAAAGTCCAAGATTTTCTCGGAAATAGTTTTGAGAGCGTATAACAATAGTACTTTCAAAGTTAGAAATAAGATCTACACACAAATACATAAATACACTGTCTGTGGATGTCTCTAAAGTATTTTCTCCTAGGGAATAGTTTATATATTTTTTTATTGAAGTTTTATCTTCGAGACAAGGACTTTTGACTTTTAATTTAAGTTAATGTAAAATTACGGTCAAAAATATCAGCGAAGGTTTCTACAAAAATTAGTCTCATAAATTGGAATCATAATTTCATTCTTATAAATTTCATTCCTTATATAATGTATTTAGAGAAGTCTTATTTTTTTTGTGATAAAAATTAATACTTACGATAGGTTGGTCGAGGGACCATACTCCAGACAGCTTTAAATCCTTTGTACTCGATCGTTTCGTCACTGTGAAAGCGTAGCCAAAGGTATCGGGACTTGGATGTGATTTCAGGAGGAAAGTTTTTATCGCAGTAATTTCCAATGGGAGTGGAAAAACCATGCTGACCATCCCGTACTTCGAGAAAATCGAATCGACATTCGGAGTCCTTATTGTCTTTGATTGGCATAGCAGATTCCAGCTCGAAGTGGTCTCGGAAATCGAGTTTTATCAGCATTCCTCTGTCCGCTGAAATTCAGTATAAAATAAAATTCAAATTAGCTTTCGACGCTTTCAAAGATGTTATCATTTCAATTTATCAGATAATCGATAAAATAAAATGAATCAGACACAAAAAGCTCGTTGTAAATAAATTCTATTTTTTAACATAAATTAACGATTTTTATAATAAAATTTCCCAAACAATTAGTGATATGTTGATTAACAAATTGTAGGTATTGAAAATTTTCAAACTTGTTTCGAGTAACGAATCAAGTCATCCGTGATGGAAGTAATCAATAAAATAAATATTTAATAAATATCGGACTTTTAATTAAATGTATATCAACGATACTGCAAACGAGTGTTCAGTCTATTATCAATGAATATTAATAATAACTATATCATCAGACGATAATATATGATACTATGTCATAATAATGGCTAATTATCCGTGATAAACTTGATGTAAAATTAACTGTAGTTTTCGATATACGATAAAGGGACAGAATAAATATCATTCAACTGACTTATTAGTAATTGAATGATCTCCTGTTGCACATATTATTCAAATTACATGATCAATATAATTAACAATCATCCTGAAATTTAATTATAACATCATTTTTAAAAATTTTCACTCAATATCTTTTTCAAATTAAACTATTAGTATCGCATAATTTGTATGAATAGGGATAAGTAATATTTGCAAATTTATGTGCGAAACCTATGATTGAAATCTACTCATCAAAAGCTGCTTATTGCCTCGATCTTCTATGATAATTTTGGCATGTAGATGATCAAAATTTGATTCAATCGAATGTTATGTGAAAAGAAGAAATATTATTACAAAATAAATAATTAAATATTCATGTACAAAAATGTAAAGAATAGTAATTTTAAAATTTAAATATATTTATTTTATTTTCTTGTTACTTTACTTTGTACAATAGAGTTACTTTTTTCTTTTGACGTAGTAATTTAATTTCTCGAGAGAAAATAAGATGATCTTGATTTTTAGCTTTAAATATTTACGTACTTTTTAAAGATGGATACTTCTGCATATGCTGTCTGTTATCTGAGGAAAACTATTCTGTAAAGACTTGCCACAAAAATTTATATAGAAAAAACTTAAAAGCAATGTAGATGATATAATATTTATGCATGTAAAAAAGTAAACATTCGCCTATTTGTAACTGTAGAGTATACGGATAGTTAGGTACGTCCTATAAATTGAATATTAAATATTTAAATAAAAATATTTACCTCCATCAAAGAATTTAAAATAAGTTCGATAATTATTTATTTTATTCCATCTAGTTTCTAAAACATCTACTGTCAGAATAAAATTATATTTACAGGTCTTTGATGATGTTTTCGTAAATTAAATTATAGAGAGTAAATTGAAATGTTTTTTGGGTATCTTCTATTAAATAAATTTTTTTTAAACGAAGTCAACGATGCAGATATAATGGAAATTATATTAATCAGTGAAAACAATATTGTATGCTTCAAAAAAGTTATAGTAAACTTGGCAATTCAATTATACAGAATTGATTTAATACAATTTATTTACTAAAAATAAGTGAAAATAAAATAAATGAACACAGACTGAATAAATACTTGAAACAAATAATTACATCAGGTTTGTTTGGAGAAGTTTATCTCTCTTTATAGCATTTTAGATTCGACTTAAGAGCATAATAGCCAATTCATCATTTAAAAAAATGCCAAATTTTGAATTTCTTGAAAATCATTCTTACAAGTGAATTTAGAGGAGAGTCAGATCGATGGTAATCGATGTTAAAAATTAGATATTCAGAATGCATATGTAGTACAAAGTAGCTTTGGCCTGAAATTATTCAACTTCGGTCCGATCGTTAGAATTCACTTAACCATTTGTTGGCGTATAACCAGCAACTGAACCTCTTCCACAGGAATTGTAGGTATATATACTTTACGCAAATACTATCTAGACACAAGGCATAGTGTGTAGGAGGGTACAGCTTTATGTGCTATCAGGAGGAGTAATGTCAGAGCAAAGATTCTCGTTACTCAGAAGCTGTCGGTTTGATGTTCTCTGATCTAATCGATGCTACATTTAGCATGATATTCACTGTATTTAACCAATATACAGTTTCTAATGATTCTAGAGAAAGCTATTTTCATTTCACATTTAATTGAATTTTCAATAAACACTGAAACCAACATCAATGGCGCTTTATTTATGTCAAATAAAAATACCAATTTACTTTAACATTAAAAGTTAACTCAATAAATCGAGTGAACAAAAAAAAACAACAAAGATAAAGTCAACGGATTGTTAAAGTTAAAAAAAAAAAAACAAATTACTTAACTTGGAGTTAAAGAAGGAAAGTATTTTAGGAATTCTGTTTATTTCAACATGAGAAAAAAGTAATGAATGGAAATTGAAAAAAATAAATTCATGTACGAATAACATTAATTTTTTTAATTTAACTGTTTTATGGTGTAGAATAAAAATAAAATTACTTAACTGTAATCATTTTAATTCTAGCACAAAAAATAATTATAATAAATATATTATTAGTCAATATAAATTCAAGATTTAAACGAAAATAATCAATTATACTTATGATCTAATAATCAACATGATATCATAAAAATTTTTCGTTCTGTCCAAGAAAGAAAAAACAATGTGCATGTTAGAATGCTCGAATGAAATGTGTAGGCTAAATTGTTTCCTTTCTGAAGAACCGAAGAATAAATTTTAATAATTTTCTGCTAGAAAGGAATGCAATTAAGTTTTGAACACATTTATGTTGATATTTAGCATAATTTCTTATAGATAATTGAATTTTTCGTCGAGTTTTCGCTTTATTATTAAGAAAATTCATTTTATTAAAACTAGCCAGTCTTAAAAATGATTTCTCATTCTGTAATAATATAATCATGTCAGTAAAAGTAAATTCTCGTTCATTTTAATTCACATTTTATTACACTCTATGTATATTAACTCTAATTATTATTCATACATTTAGCTTCATGTTTTAAAGACAAAAAAACTCAAGTACTTAAAGTTCCGGTAATTGTATGCTGTAATCACTTTAGCGAGCACTTTAAGCATCAAGACTAAGATTTTCTTGAGTACCCTGGAGCTGTTTATTCTTAGTTGCCGAGTGTTACTATGATAGAATAATATGACTCGGAGCACTGGAATTATTTTTCTAAATTTTTTTTCAAATTTAAAGAGATCATTCTCATTAGTCGATTATCAAAGCCCTTTTCCTTTTTACACTTACGATTTCAAATAATTAATGACCCGGCGTACTATCGATAGCGCTTGGATACTTTCCAACTTCTCCTACAAACACATCACTTTTCTCATGGACTTTGTGCTGCCGAGCAAGAGAATCCGATGGTCGAGAAATATAGTTAAGTTAAACGATGCTTGGAACGGTCTGAAGATACTGAAAATTTCTCAGAAAGCGACTGAAATTTAACCGGATGTTTATGCTACTTGGAAATCACCGTGACAATATAGAATATTTTAAATATCGAATAAAGCTTAAGCTTAAGTATTTTATTGTTTAAATATATTCTTCAATATTCGTCAGATAAAATGGTTTTCCAATAAGTAAGTAAATCTACTGTTTCATACGAAACTAATGTATTCCTAAGGGATTCGGTTCAGCTGAAATGGATTTATTCTATCCAACATGTGATTGGATAATATCTATGAGTTAGTATTTATAAATAGTTAAGGATAAATATAAATTGAAATATTTTGAATGAGTTAATTGCTTCTCACTCTTGGTTTCTTGACAAACCCCAAAATACTTGGCTATGTCTTCAAATAACTTGAAAGACTGACGTGTATACACATGCATGCACTTTAGAATACACCTTTTTTTATATTTGATAAATAATATTTTTATGCAAGTTACTGTATCATACTTAAAGTCGTATTTACAATTAATGTAATCAGTGTAAAATATTTTTGCCGAAAATTCATTTAAATTTAATAATAGTTTTAAAAGTTTTGAATAAATTCGTGCATTTCTTATGAGAAAATTAACTTCACCAAGTAAAGAGTCGAAACTTAGCTATTGCTTCGAGAAACTGCTTTAAGTTTAGTAAGTACATGTGAAAAACTTGACTTTATTATTTTTATAAAAATAAAAGCAATAGTTCACAACTATTTCAACGCAAAACAGTAGAGAGAAAAAATTTCATTAAATTCATACAATTTTTAAAGAAACCAATTAAATTAAACTTATAAACAACATTATTTTTTTTTTCGTTTTCGAAAATTCTTTAATAAATTTAAAATAAATTAAACTTGCTTAATTATAATTATTATAAAACTAATCGATATGTCTTATGGTAACATAGAGTTGATGAAATTTTCAGCAAGATCGGTCAAATCGTATTAAAATTTATGAGATAATTTAAACAATATTCCAGGCAAGAAATTCTAAGTCTAGTCTCTCGAGAGTCAGAGGACTTATAATTAATTTTTATATTAAAAAGTCCGTAAATAAGTAAATTATGCAAAAGTTCAGATGTACAGTACTAGAAGTAATTTACATTCACTTTGATTAACTGACTGTCGTTGGAATAAATTTTTAATTTTTCTTTGTTATATTTTTAATTGTTAACTGTCCGTCAACCTGATTGTTCTTTTCTCAACGCTTCATTTACCAAACAAAATTATTTCTTAGATACTGATGTGATGATTGATGGGAAAAATTCTTCACTAAATATTTAGACACATCCTTCATATTCATCATACACATATTTTTTATGGTCAAGTTTTTTTTATTTAATTAAATAAATATTTTTTCAAGAGACATCGTTATTTCATTTACTTCAAAAATAACAAAATATCAACAATCGTTAATTAGTCAAAATAAACCAACCATTAATTGCTTTGTATTTTTTTAAGCGCTTGTCTAAATGTGGTTTCCACATAAAAATAAAAAAAACTAAAAATATAGAACGTTGATGCTAATATCTCAGTTTTGTTTAAATTTTATGACTAAATAAAA